TGCACAGTAACAGTTATGCAACACGTCATTAATTATACTAGTCAACACTGTGACACTTGTTTTAATGTGTTTTAAGCACTGATCACTTGCAGTCTCTGGGTAACAGTCAAACGCATGACTTTCATGTCATGTCTGTGTTGGGAGTTTAGGTACGATGCGAATACCTCGATAGTTTGTTTTCATTGAAACTGATGGCATAAATGTTATTATTACATAAACACTGAACTTAGAACTTTGATAATAATAAATTAGTGACGTTGTTGTAAGTTTAAGGTCATGCGAAATAATTTCGCAATCGACTACCCCCGGCAGCGCCAAAGCACAAACTGAATGCGTGTTTGCGTGTGCGCCGTAGGGCCCGTAGGGGTGAGAGTGCTAGGGGGTGGAGCGTTCGCGTTTCTTATTGGAATTTTTGGGAATTAGTAATAATATCTTAATATCAATTACGTGTTTGAGTGTGTGTGTGTTGAACCGCGTTATTAAGCTAGTTACATGACGGTCACGTGAAATCCGGCGTAGTTAGCACTTACGGATATCCGTAATTTACAATAAAAATAATTACCTACAACTTTTTTATTCCTTCAGACTTAGAATCGATAGCAGAAGTTACCTTCTAGAAAAGGTTTTTTCCCGAACAACCCTTGTATACACGTTTCCTCGTTGTACCTTGCGTGCTTTTGCCATTTTTTACTAACTTTATCTATACCTACATATTATTAAATTATTTTGAAATAAAACTGCTTTTTCTTTCTTTAGTTTGTATTCTCTTAATAAATTATATAATAAAAGCGTAAAAAATTAAAACTAAACAAAACCAATAGGCGTAAAATAAGGAATATAGGCATACAGAAAACATAAAATTGAAGAAATTCCGGACAATAATTTTATAGATACATTTCGTTTAGATAAACAGACTTTTAGTCTGCTTTGTGAGGTGCCCATACCACAAGCAAATTGTTCTTTACACTTGTTGATTCACCATGGTGTCAATGTTTTGACCGAGGGAAGTGGAAACTATAGTTTTTTTTCTCCTCTATTAATATCTTCTTTACGTAGTGGGATCAACTTTTCATGTTGTATCTACTGTAGATCTTGGCTTATAGGTGTAGTAGTCCATCGGTTTTGGGAGGTAAAACAAAAAAGCTAAATTTATACATATTAAAGCCTGCTTATCAATGCATTGAGCGTTGCTCGGCCATGTATAATGTCCGTTTGCGAGTTATGGGCAATCTGAACGGCCACCGACACTCCATCATCATCACCATGTTGCTCAGTTACGTCAGCAGGTGGTGGAAGACGAGCGTGTACCGTGAGATTGTGTAATACACAACACGCAGTAACAATTTTACTGGCAACATGTGGATCATAATGGAGTGTGCGGTGGTTCAGCAAACATCGCCAACGTCCTTTTAACACACCAAAACAACGCTCAATGCAGTTTCTGGCTTGTATGTGTCGCGTGGTATAAATATCTTCTTGTGATCCAGCAGCGGCATTCAAAACGGGCGTCATTAGCCACGCTCTTTGCGGGTATCCTGAATCACCTACAATTTTAAGGATATTTTATTAGTTTCTCAACTTTGCAACCATGTAGAAGTAATACGCTTTACATAATTTATAATGACACTGTGTGTGCTGTGAAAAGGCTAAGGTTGCCACTTGTATATTGCTACTCACCTAAAAGCCACGTTTGCTCCCCACGTCGGTGAAGCTCACGCATGAAAGGCTCCACTTGGCTGGAAGCCCATATAAATGAGTCATGCGTGGCTCCACCATACTTGGCATTCACATTTAATATTTTTAAATTGTGATCACAAATCTGCAAATCAAATTATTTTAATTACACGCATGCTTAAATAGGCGAAAGAGGGGTATATCGACCTTATAAGTACCTAATTTGTTTGAGTGCAACCAGGAATTACTTTGTTTAGAATAAGCAACTGAATCCATCTCAATGATTTTATACCATGTTGTATTTTGACCAAAAAAACTTCAAAACTGCGCGCTGCCTATTCGCAATCATATGACTGCAGGTCATGCGCGGGCACGGCACGCGGCACTGTAGGTATCGAACGCGGCACGGAGCGACAGCGACGCACCCGCGCAACCCCCTTTCGTTTTCGTTCAGTTACGCTCAGGCTCACGCCGCGGCTACTGTCGTTGTATGCGCATGCACCTCGTCGACAATTTCGTGATCGCAAGTTTTATCTTTCTTCAATTAGATTTTTAACTTTAAACACTTCGTTTATCAAGAAGAGTTACAAAATGAATTTGATTTAGGAGACAAAATCCATAAAAGTGAATTTTCAAGTGTTAAAAACAATTGATTTGTTTTAAGCAAATTACACAAAATTATAGCTCTTGAAATTCTTTGTATGATGCACAGAGGCGAATGCTTCGAGCTACTTTTAAAGTATGTGTGAGCAGTGAAGTGAGTACCTATCTACCTAATCAGTGACATCGTGATTCTCAAATATTCAATCATAGATAGTAGGTAAACAGTGAATTAGTAACTAAATAGTGAATTAACGTTTAAATAATGTTAATTAACATGTTTAAACACCAAGATGGATTAGTAATTGCGTTATCAATGAAGACAGTGCGAAGCGAATGAAGGTTTGTAGCTGCACATAGTTGAGTTAATAACTACCTAAGTATACATGTAGTTATCGCCGCGGCCGCGCGCCGGTACATGGTGAGTAGGTGTATTTTTAAGACAGAGAGCTATTATATTAAGCAAAACTCGGTGAATCTTTATCGTAGTTTTGAAATTTTGCTTATCGATTATATTTATACAAAAATACTAGACCCGTGTTTCGTAATGCACTCAAACAAATTATGGTTGTTGACGCAGACAGTCCTTCATCTGTGCAGTATTCAATGAACAGATTCTATAATAATTATGAATAGAACGTTAGCTTACCATTTGCACATTAAGGGAATGATATCCTTTCCTATTAAAAAATAAGTGCTCGTCCCTGGCTGGCTTTACAATGGCCACGTGCGTGCAATCTATGCAGCCTACAACACCCGGCAAATTAAATCTTCTTTGGAACCTAGAAGTGATTCATGTTTAGTATAGGTACATATAATAAAAATAAACTAAACAAATAACGGTAATAGATACTGTCTTATAGTACCTTCTGTTAGATATATGGTAGGTATTGTTTAAAAAAAACATAATCCCAGTATTATTTTCTTTTTAGTCGTGGTCGAGAGACGAGACATTTACTATTCCTCCGGCTATATTAATTTATAAGAACCGTCGCAATATTTTGAATATTACTTACTCTTGTCTCAGGACCTGCCGTTCTTGTTGCGTTTGAGGAAATCGTATGCCATTTAACATGTAGTCGCTGTTGAGCGCGTCTACGACTTCCCTTATACAGCGACTTGCAGTTCGTTGGGGTAGAAATTGTGTTACCCCAACGATTCGCTGGTAAGATCCTGTTGCCAAAAAGCTCAAGTGCAAAGAACCTACAAAGGAACAAACAAAGACCATTTTAACTTTACTTCTAAAGACTTAAGCAGGTAACTGATGTATCCTAATGTTCATCATTATCAAACCGTTTTCGCCAATAACTCGCCGTAGAGCTCGAACTGAATGAAAGCTCTTCTCATGCGTACTTAGTTTGGTGGATTTAGTTTATTAGTAGTAGGCAATGATTTATTTACTTACCTTAGTCTCGAGCGAAATATATTTAGTTCCCCGCAATGAGGTATGGGCACGTAAGTCATTACAAAGCAGACTAAAAGTTTCTTTATCCAAACGAAATGCATCTATAAAATTATTGTCCGGAATTTCTTCATATTGATTTTTTCTGCATAATTTTCTTTTATTACGCCTATTCCACTCTTCTTCAGTCTTAGCTGCCCATAATAGGCGTAATGTATGCATTTTATTAAAATAAAATAATTTTTGTTGTCCACACAACACAACACATGAACACAAATTTAAATGAGCGCGGCTTTGCGCGGCTTACTTCGGATGTTTGCGCGGCAAACAGCTGATCGAAGGTCGGCCATTTTGCAGCGCTATCTACAAGGTCCTAGCGACCGCTCCGTGTCGAGCGCTAAGAAACGCTTTCGACAGTCAAAAGTGGTATTTGGCTAGCCTTTCTAAGGAAAATAATCGACTTGCTTAGCGACCCGTTTTGTAGAATAGACTAAAGATGCATTTGGCTACCAATCTCAGAGTGTTAAACTCTGTCTATTTTGCTTATGTCATCCCCATACATTGAGTTATCTACTCTACAAGTAGACACGCTTATAAAAGGCATTTGGCTAGCACTGCAGGCCCATCTATATAATTATTTATCATTTACCTACCTATTTAAATTACTATGTACAAATTATTCATTTTTGTCTAGAACAACATTTGACAAGTATATTTTCGCGTTCCTTAAGACATTAGCTTAAGGTGTATAATTACACAACCTATTTCCTCCTTGTCTCAGAAAAGGTAACTTTAATGTACTAAAAACTCCTTCCAGGATCTTCATTAGAAGTCTTTGTAATCTCTGAACTTTGTTTACAGTCAGACATATTTACAAAATACATAACATAACGTCTTTTATCCCCGAAGTGGTAGGCAGAGGTGCACATTACGGCACCTTATGTAATGTAACACTCACTTTTCACTATTTATGTTATAAGTCCCATGTAATAGGGGGTGAGCCTATTGCCATATACTAGGCATAGTTCCAGACTCCGTGCTACTACTGAGAAAATTACAAAAATCACCACAAAATACTTCTTGAGAATCCTCTCGTAACTTCATCCGAAGAGTCCATTTTTATTGTCCAGGAAACACATATATCCTTGACTAGGTCATATAGGAAACACATACACTAGTTCCACCAGCACTAAGTGATAATCTTCAAACACAATTTCTCTTTTGAGTCACAACACTATAACACGAACCGAAAAGAAACCGTTTACACTATTCAGAGACACCTCCATGTGGACCAGGTCTAGTGTCTGGTGCTCCATGACGAAGATCATAAGAAGACATCGTCAGCTCCGTCCTGCTTGCCAGTGAGGAGGTAGGAGCGGGAGTTCTTGCTGGTGAAGAAGTATGGAGCATTCCGGGAGGGACAGCGGAAGGAACGGAGGAGGATCGGAGGCACGTTGTCGGACTTGTTGCCCACTGGCTCTAGGAGGTTGTTCCACAGGAGGTTCGCCGCTGGAATGTGTAAGGAAGGTTGTTAATGATGTTAATCTAATACAAGAGTTAGAATTAAGATGTCGAGTCGTAGAGTTGTGTAATTTATTTTTTATTCAAACAGATTTGTATACTTTTTATAATATGATCTTTGAAGACATAATTCTTCGAATTTCATCTTTTAAATCTTACACCCACTGAGCACTTTTTAGCCTGGTAGCGTAGGTGAAATTCCTGGTTAAAGCTAAAAAAGTAGTGTGAGACAAGGTGTTGAGATTTTGGGAGATTTTCAATAATAACTCCGTCTCGAATTTGGACCTGTTAAGTTAGACTATTGTAACGTAATCCTAATGCCGGTTTCGGGTACCGCAACCGTTTCTTGACTACTGGCGTCTATCGTTGGCTCATAAGTGGCTGGAAAATCTACCAGATTAAAGGCTCAATAATATACAATGCTCCGTCTAATAGGTTCATCTTTGGCTCCCTTTCGAATACCTAAATCTGAACTATAATGTAAATATAAGAGGTGGTATACCGAGAGCATGTCCTTTCTGCGAGAAGTGGAAGCAGTCGTGCGTGATGTATGACTGGTGGATGACGAGCGGCAGCGGCGCGGGCGGCGGCAGCGGCGCGTTGAACAGCCGCATGAACGGCTGCACCACCACCGAGAACTGCTCGTCCGACCAGTACCGCCCGCTCTCCACCTGGAGGTAATGTCACTTGTATCACTTGTTGCAGACATGTCACCGGGGCAGCAGCTGTAGCCAAATGCAATTTAGCGCTTGCCTACTTGTAGAAAAACTAAATTATATGGAACTAGCTTTTACCCGCGGCTTCGCTCGCGTCACAAAAGGATAAAAAGTAGCCTATGTGACATATACCAATACACACAACGCCATCTATACCAATACTTTTATTTTCCCTCGGGAATATAAAATTTTTCCATGATAAAAATCCGGACTTATAACTTTACGTCTTCAAAAATTCAAATCAATCGGTTTAGTAGTTACGGCGTGAAAGCGGAACAAACAAACAAACAAACAAACTCACTTTGCGATTTATAATATTAGTAAGGATTGACGTAATTTTTGACACCTCTCAGTGTCATCCCCTTACATGTAGTTTTCTACTCTCTCGACAGACAAGCGCTAAAGTGGCGTTTGGCTAAAGGTGCAGGTATCTCGATGTTATCTGTCAATCTATATAGAAACACACGAATCAAAACTAATGAGGGCTATCGTTTATTTGCTCACCAAGTGACGCTTATCTAGCAAAAAGATTTTTTGTCACTAATTGAACGTCCAATATAGTGACAGTAGCAAATTTCCTATTGGACGAAGATTACACTAGGACTAGCACTATTCAATGGCAACGTTTGATAAACAAAAACACAGTTACTCCCATTTAATGTGTTCGGATGCCCCAATGCTGATAAACATATCCATTATACGCTAAACTTTATGTCTTTGACTGCCGACAAAATACTGTTAAAGGCAAATTCTCCGCCGTTAATAAACAAAACATCCCTCTTTTTACCATTAGGTTGAAAATTACCTTTATTTACAAAAAAATCAATTCAATCACCTTTATTTACAAAAAAAGGAACATTTCAGTAACTCGACTAGTTTCGGGCCACATTCGGGGCTTTTGGCCTCGGCCAGTATTGCATGACAAAATGTGAGTAAGCCCTACAATATAAACCAAAAATATATGCACAATATCGAGCTAAAGTAATGGTGTCTCACCAGCGCCGTCTCTGCCTTCTGGTAGAGCCTGGCCATGCGCACGAGGTCGTAGAACTCATTGCCTCCCTGGTGGAAGCACGTGCAGAACAACGAGTGCATCAGGCGACACATCATCGGACGGAGCACGCGGATCGATACTGATACATCTGGAATGGATATACCGATTTATGGTGATGGAGTTTCTTGCTCTTTCTTCTTCATTCGAATCTACATTTTGGAACAACCACCTAGCTTCACTGATGGATGGACTGACAGACTATTGTTTATTTTGTATTTGTTGACGTTTCAAAAGTACCTACCAAATTATGGTTTAATTGAAATAAATGCTTTTGACTTTGAGAAATTGTATTCGGGTTTAATTGCCAATGACAACAAATGTGTTGTAAATGAATGACAACAAAAGGTTAAAAATTGGGAATTTTTGAAAACGATTAATGTAACTTTACTGTAATTATAGGCTCTTCCGTTTGCTGAATAAGGTGTAGGGACACTTGATAACACATTGACCTAAAAAGGTATTGTTCTCCAATCTCTTTGTGATAATGAAGGCAGTTCAGAATAAAATTTAAAATGGATAGTTAAATTAAGTTAGTAGTCGTTGAAGATGAAAACACTTAAAGAAAATATAAGTAAACAGATTTAATGAATTTCTAAGAATTTATGTAGATAGATAGGCAATAATTATAAAACTTACCTAATACTGGTACCAAGTTAACGATAGTCCTAGGCAGATGTTTGTGTAGATAGTCCAATGCTATAGCCAGCTTCTTGGCATGCGCGGCGGGAGACCAGGAGACAGGATTGAGACAGGACGCCGAGCACAGATCATTGGCTCCTATGAACACCGTCACCATCTTCCAATCGTTCTCCATGTCGATTTCTGGTGATGACCGCATTCGAGCTACCAGGATCTGTAAAAGTGCAGTTTAGATTATTGGGTTGGGCTAAGTAGTTAAGTCTGGAACACATTTAACACTAAATGCACATGTTCCGATCCCATCGGGAATATAAAAAGTCATGTTAGGTGTTGTTGTTATTTTAGTTCAATCAAACATTACTCTTTTATTACAGAGAACAAGTTGCAACTAGTAAAGAAGCCACATGAAGTTACAACATACTATATTGCACGTATTAAACACTTGTGTCACATACTAACACCAAACGATAAAATGACTATTTATTTAATCTTCATTCAAAGTTGTGAAAAATGAGCACTTGGTATTCGCACATTACCAAATAGAAGTTTAGTTCCAAATTACGAAGACAATATGCAAGTATATATGAGAATAATGTACAGAGAAGACACAATAATTGTCACATATTTGTTCATGTTTAATGGCTTAGCAAATAGTGCGGTGAAGGTGTTGGCCTGATTCCACACAAAGGCCCATGTCATCAGGGTCACTAATAGCGGTCACCATTCATTTTGACATTTCATTAGTTTTTGTAACGTCTTATTACTTTATGAAGGGCTTTAATGAAGAAGCGAGTAATTTGGAACAGTTCGCTAAGGTTGCGAAGTTTTGATGGTAAAGTACGATCGCTAGTATTTCTTAATAGGAAACAAAACGAAGCAATGGTAGCAAGAAATAAGTACGTGATAACTAACGGCTTCCTTCTTTTTTAGGAAATCATATCGTCAATCACCTGGAGCTATCAACAAATTCACATAAATACTGAATGAAGACACTGGTTCTTCGAACATTGGGCTTTGGTTTACCTACAACGAAGTTATCTAACAAAACATCATTAATTATAGACACACAAAAATGTGGTAATGGCGTGTTTGGGTCACGCTCCACAAGTTTAACAAAAAACTCGTAAAAATTGGCAAATAAGTAAAGACTGTGTGTAAGCACGTGCTGTGATCATTATTTATTTCCTTTAAACTTAGACCGAGTTTAATAAAGGTTACGCACAATTAAACTTAATTCACTTGGTTGTTAAAAGATTGTAGTAATGCGTAATTAAGTGTAAGATTTGTGGTCGATTGCTAAACACATATAGCATAATTTTGACATGTATATAGTACAATTGTACATGAAGTACAAAAAAATGTAAATACAAACTTCAGGAGTTTTATTTCGTAAGTATTGTTACTTGGTTTTCCTCAACAATATGTTTTTTATTAATGTAGTAATTACGAAATCGGGCTTTTAAAGTAAAAGTTATATTCTCTCATATCAATTGTCCAGGTAGGATTTAGTTGTATTTTAAAAATCAATTCTTAGTATTATTTTATATCTATTAGAAATATATAGTTATAAATACACGAATAAATAAAAACAACCTTAGCTTGTTTCAAGGCGTCCTCGTCGGAAGCCACGGGGAAGGCGACGTTGAACTTGGCGTTCTTGTTGAGCCACTCGCCGGTACCCGTGGAGAACCCCTTCAGGTTGGGGTTGAACTCCTTCAGGATATTTGGTAATGTTAGATACTCCCGCCATGTCGCATCACCGCCTGAAAGTTTTAAATATAGCTCTCATGTCGCTTAGTCGTCAATCAGTACTTATTCTGAGCATTAATTTTATGTTGTCTGATTAAAATTATGTCAGTTAACATACATATGTCAGTTAAATAATTCTGACATCGTGAAAAAGACCCAAAATATATTTTAACATACTTTAACACAAAAGCTACGCGTTAGCATTTAGCTTTATGTTCAATCTATTAAGCACTTTATTTTTTAATGAAACTTCCACACCTCGGCAGTAAACAGTTCTTAACTATATTATTATACATACTAATAAGACATACTATTCAGTCCACGATTGAATTGAAACGTAGAATGTAGGAAGTGTGAAATGTGCAAGCCATTAACATATGTAAAGTCAAAGTACATTTATGTAATACATTGTAACACGTGTAATGAATTCCATGTTAACATGCATTGGACCAATCACGTCAAAGTTCGTAAATCTTTAAGGTTTAATGTCATACATTAATGATGAAGCCTTAGTACAAAGTAATGCTTCAGCCTACTGTATTAATAGCTCACAGCGTGTTTGATTTGTGGAAAATTATAAATTGTTGGTGGTTACGATTGTAGATACCTACGATTGTAGAGGTATAAGCAATAAGTCTGAACCATTTCGCCTTAAAGTTGACTGTACAATACAACTTCGTATACATATCGTTTCGTATATTTTCGTATTCTAAATCGTTTATTCAAGCAAACGTCCCGTTCGTTCCTATTTATATTTTGTTTCATAAGTAGGTGAACTGATTCAATATATAGCTATGATGACATTAGCATGAATGGTGTGCACTTTCATTGGCGCATTCAGGAAATGATTGTGGTCAGGAATGGCTAACGATAACCACAGACCGTAAACTGATTGAATGTTATAGTAAATTTTATGGTTTATGTTACGTGCAGGTGGTGCAGATTTACATCTCAAGAACTTGGTTTTGTTTTTTATTAAATGTAGATCTAATAAAAGAAATAAATAGTTAAAACACTGATAATGGTGTAAGCGATATGAACGAAAATTGGGGTTTTTCACCAACTCGACACGAGGAACTGATCACACGTGTGTCCAGTTGGTGAAACTTTAAATTAGCACTAATTATTCTTTCGTCATTTGGACACGCCAAGGTTTTTATGTATGTCCACATAGTGAAAATCAAATTAAGTTACTTTTGTGTTTTCGTCAACTGGACACACGTTCACATTTTACCCGAATGTATAACAAAGTACAGTCACGCAGATAATATTTTTGAATCACAATCATCGTTGTCCTCTAAACGTCCCACCTAGTAATTTCACCGGGTAATTTTGTAATTATTCACCATTTGTGAATTTGTAAAAAATATATTTTTGACACCGAAAGTGTTTGAAAGTCGCTATTACCATGTTACGAGTACTATGCTTGTCAAATCTTCAACATGGAACCTGTTTTATTACAGTCTTTGAGCCTAACTCTAATATAAATATTTGATTGTTACTCATTTGTTTTATTTCAAAATTTGTCTTAAAAACGAAACAATTTTTAACTTAACTGTACCTTATTTAGAAAAAAAAAATAGGTGTGTCCAGTTGACGATAACATAAAAGTAATTAATTTTAATTTTCACTATGTGGACATACATAAAAACCTTGGCGTGTCCAAATGACGAAAGAATAATTAGTGCTAATTTAAAGTTTCACCAACTGGACACACGTGTGATCAGTTCCTCGTGTCGAGTTGGTGAAAAACCCGAAAATTGTACCTGAATGAAATTAGTGAAGTCACAAACCAAAACGCTAAAGATTACAATTGTTCCTAAAGTACAATGTAACATCCATTTTTCACTATTTATGTTATGAGTCCCATGTAATAGGGGGTGAGCCTATTGCCATATACCGGGCACATTTCCAGACTCCGTGCTACTACTGAGATTTTTACAAACCCAGTAGGTAATAATTTGCCCGACTCGGGCGGGCGGGTGTTACATTGTACAGTGGCATTAAGTGCCGTAATGTGCACCTCTGCCAACCCCTTCGGGAATAAAAGGCGTGATGTTATGTTACTATGTTCCTTAAGTACCTACATTAGAAATAAAATCTCTTACCTGCACACCAGGAAACACCCCTATACTCCACAAATGCTCCTAACGCGAACTCTTCAAGCGCTCCACTGCCAGCGACCAAGGAGTCCCCGATGGCGGCCACCACATCAATGTCTCCCGGCCTTAACCGATGCACTGAGGTAGGCCGCTGAGGACTACGGCCCCAGGAGAGCGCGTCCTCGCAAGGGAACGGCACGGACGAGGGTATGGCGCGCTGACGACGCACATGTGATTTGCGAGATGGGTAGCGAACTTGGACCTGAAAGTGTTAATTAAAACGTTGTTAGGTATGAAGGTCGAAAATAGGTCTTAAGGCCGCTTCTTCACAATACTTGTTAACATTAAGTGAATTGATGTCAACTAGGTAAACTGGAATATATCATAGCTTCTTAAAAACCATTGACATACTGCCGTTCCCATACATCACTTAGAGACATTTCGCATTCACAAAGACGGTAATTACATGTTTTAAACACGTGACTCATGTTTTCCATTGATTATTATGTAAGCAATTAACATTTTAGCATTCAAACAATAAATTCTGTTCACGTAACTGAATGCCGACTAGGCGCTAGGTTAACGGACCTAATAATATGAATTTACGCTACATAACAAATAGACTAAAACATACAATTCATTAACAACGATTTATATTACAGTGGCGAGCAGTGTACAAGGTCGGTCATTTCATTACCGCGTCCTCAAAGTGCGCACTTTTCCAGGCCTCAAGTGTAACATTACGATAACATCGTTGCACACTCGTGCGCACATTTAGTGCCTATCTAGAATTTTAAGTAGAATTGTGAAATGGAGCGCATTAATGAGGATCCTTGAGGTGATTTCGGTTAAAGGATTTGCTAACGAATTTATTACATTTTCAAATGTATCTGGCACGCGGTATTTGTAATATCTTGCGGATCTTGCCTTAGTTTTATATCTTATCCGTTATTAATGTAATAAATACGATTTACAATGAAAGACGTACTTACTCGAAATAAATTCGCAAAATGATTAAAGACAAATGATGTAATTGTAATTTTGATCATTCCTCTACTAGATATCTGTCTACTTGTCTGATTACGTTCAAGATAAAGTAAGATTATACAAGTGGGTTTTTGTCATAGAGACTAGCTTCCTCGAGTAATAAATATGAAAGAAAAGTGTACAAAAATCTGGGACATGATAGTATTGCGAACTATTATTTAATACGTGAGATGAATCCGACGCATGCGTGTTTACATAAACTCTGAGCTTTTAACGTCGCGCCGCATCATGCTCCATGCTCCGTGATAGTACTGCCGCCGCGATGTATATTTGCCAATTCTCTTTATTATGCTACAAGGAAGTGTGCCACATTTGAAGGTGAAGAATAGTGCTCCCTTTGGCCAATAGTTGGCAAATATTGTAATGGTCGAAATATGGTAACTAGACATCGTTGACACTGATTTGTGATCATTATGTTGCTCTTGCGTCAATCAATAAATATTTTATTTGTATGTAATGTCTCGTTACTTGGTATAAGATAAGATTTAAGTGTGTAAAAAACGAATATCCGGCACTATTCTGCCTCAGGGAAGATACGTCTGTCACATATTCAGACTTCAATGATCAAGAGGTGTCACTTTAGCTAGACTACGACTAAATAAATTGACTATTGTGTTTCTTGTTGCAAAATGTAACCTTCGTGTGTGTTACAAAAAGACATTGTGGTAGAATTTGCGGTCAATAAAGAACGGTTCTTAACGCCGGCTAGGATGAACATTAAAGAACTTTGCAACGAGCCTTCTTGGTAATCATTACACATCAGCAATGTGCTACAGGTCACGAACTCACGATCTACATGATCGAATTACAACAACAACTCGTCAAATAAACATGTAATGTTATGTCATTAAAATCACTTAAAACTGGTTAAATTCAATCAACGCCTGTCTGGGCTATACAAATAATCATTCATTCAAAAACTAATTACCACGCTCCATGTAAGGTGGCATCTAATTCTCGAGTACATAGTACACAACTAATTGTCACTTGGAGTGTGTGTTGAAACTCGTGCGCAAACTGATTGAGATTCATTTGGCGCGTAATGAGAAAGCGTGCGGCTATCAAGCGACGCTTTTAGATGCGCACACGCAATACGGACGCGAGCTGACCGACAATATTGTTGCTGGAACCGTCGGGATGGTGACCACTGTTTAATTAATTAGGTCCATGTTATAATTCTATTGTAACATCATGTCATTATATAATTCAAGAGGTTGTGATAGAGCAAGTGTCAGATGTGCAATGCGTACGTACGCATTATAATACGTACAAAGATTTTACTATTTAATTTTCCATCTTATTACAATATTAAATGATATTAAATGAATTACATAAGCTTATTATAAACAATAAATTATATTTTTTATAAATTTGTATTAACGACACCTTGTCATATTAAAACAATAGATATCAAGTATCTGTATACCATAAAACTTTATTAAAATTGATGTCTATACCAAAAACCGTGGTTGAAAAACGCGGCGATTAAGACGCCACGCGTGATGACTGATTTAGTGGGTCAGTAGACCTGATATGTAGGTAACGTTTTACTGACAGATACTTACTTAGCTTGCATGTCACACAGTTGAGCATGTAAACACAATGTATGAGGAAAAATAGACAATGTAGAATAAACAATGTTGTCCGTAAACATCATAGACATAATTTTATTTATTTATTTTAAAAAAAAAATGGCCCCACGTTTTCTCCTGTGTCGTGGGTGCGTTTACAAACATATAAGTTCACATACACAATGCCACCCAGACCCGAAATAACAATTTGAGGATCACACAAAGTGTTGTTCCGTGCGTTAAACCTAATTTAGAAAAAAAGAGTTATAGAAGTTGTGCCAGTGCAAAAAAGAACAAATGATTACTTTCAGATGAAACCAACTCCAAATGTTATACTTATCAAATACCAACTCCAAATATTTGACCTACATAAACCTGACACCATTAAGGAACCAAATTCATAACCCTACCAACGTGAGTCAACGAGTGCAATTAAATACGTACTTGGCTAGATAATATTATTATTTCAATTACGTATTGGTTACATAAAGCTTTGGTTATATTATAGTACACACGACCGTATTCAAGATATTAATAACCAGTATAAGCTGACTCTCAAATGTATGGAGAGATTATACAAAGCGACACTGTGATGACTTGGTTTTGTATAGTTCGATGTGAAGTCGTTTGTACAAAGAAATAGTATGATGTACTATGACCTTCTTGTCTGTTTATCTGCGAGCTACTTTACGTTTCAATGTGGAGGATGTTGATGAGATCGCGTAATAGAGAAAGCTTCGATTATGTGGGAAATAAAGCATTTCTTTTTAGACTTTTGACACGGATTTTGTGTAGCGCGTATTTTGTAGTGGGCAGAAAAGATTACTTCAGGAAGGTAATGGATAGAGTGGATCAAGTACGAAATCAAATATTATTGTACCCAAGGATTAAGCACAAATATTCCTATTCTTGTTGACCTAGATCCAAGTGGCAGTATGGTTATAAACTGCCGTGATATCCTCCAAAAACTATATCAAAAATCACTCCGTATCACATATTTTACCATTAATAAATAAAAAATGAGATTCCATAAGTTGTCTAGATACGTACTGAATAATCAGTTATAAGCATTGTTTGTAATTAGTTATAAGCAATAAGTCAGGATTAAATAGTTCGCATTTATCGCATTGGGTTATCCTGTAATGGTAAAATGTATGTAAGTAAGTAAATAAATAAATAAAAAAATAAATAAACACATTGATATGATTCTTGGCATTGTTCACTGTCTAGTTCAAGAACTTGGTTCATGGAGAAACAGTCATACTGCCTGTCGTAATAAAATAACCAACGTAACCTTCATACAATGTTGCCATAATTAATTTTAATGACATAATATGCAAAGACCTAGAATTTGCAGAATTCTCTCGCTCTCATTACATTTGAGATTATTTTGCGAATTAGGATTCAGTATTGGCCATAGCCACGCTTATTAAGTAAAAGGTACATTTCTGATATAGTTATGCCAAAATTATGTAATTATAATAAATTAATAAACACATAAGAAAATATAACTACGATATTTATGTCAACTGAAATGAATAATCTAAACTCCTTAACGAAAATACTTAATATTAATTAAAATTTCCGATTTCTTATTACGAAATCGTGAATAGATCAAGCGTGCTCAAGTTCAGGTTTCCAATTAAACTTTTATTCGTTGTGTGCATGCGAAGTTAGTCACGAAGCGTATTGTTAAAAAAGTCAGACGGACTTTTTATTATACTGATCGTACCTGTTTCATCTTTGTATAGATTGATTTATGTAGGCTTAATATCGTATTCATTCGATATTGTAGACAATATGATTATGTATCAACCGATGCGCAGGCTCTAGGTACTAACGCATCCACACAACGCTACGCAGCGTCTACGCAACGCTACGCATAGCTACGCATCCTCTACGCATAGCTACGCAGCCTCTACGCATAGCTACGGTGCCTCTAAGAAGCGTTTAAAAGACATCAACGCGCATATAGAAATATAATCAGGTTGCTATTTCTAATAATTCGGCTAACTTGCTTAACAGTACAAGACACTAAAAGTTTCACACGTGTTGACATCAGGTATTCATTATTACCTGGACTATTACAAGAAAACTATCCTAAAACTCGGTGGGACCAAATAGTTTTAGTGAATAGCCTAACAATTGAGTGATCACGCAACAATTTCGGTCGCCAATACCTTAATATGATAATAGAATTCACACAGGAGTATCTCACGTGTATTAAAATCGACTGTTAGTTTAGTGAACAATAGTTGTCGTTAACCAATGCGTCAGTTTCACACGATTGCAATACTCGATAGCTTTAGGTAGTCCGTGTGAAACTGCGATTGGGAAAATGGTAGAACATTTATTAATTTCACGTGTGCAATGGTTGCATGTCCAATGATTTGAATAGTATTTCGTCATAGAGGAAAGATTTACCATGTATGTATCAATGAGTCTGATGTGTGCTTACTTGCTCAGTGTTAACTCACGCTGGTCACGACTGCAGAGAATCGGTTGCTCGATCAACGGTGACAGTACTGTACTAGAATAATATCGTGAGCAGTACTGTTTTCTGATTTCCTTGTATGTATAAACAGAGTATGAAAAAATCTTTATTTAGAAGAGGTTGTTAAAAAATTTAATTTTTGGGTGAAAA